TGTCCCGGTGTCCCCATGCGCCCCAATGTCCCCTGGCTGTCCCCGTGTCCCCCCCACCCCCCCGGTGTCCCGGTGTCCCCACCATGGCCGCCACGGGGAACAGGTAGGGGTGGTTGCAGCACTTCTTGAGGTCCATCATGATGTTGAGCAGCGACACCTGGTTCCCCCCGCCCCGCGAGTTCAGCGCCTCGAAGTTCCTCGTCAGGATGTACTTGTAGTACTTCCTGCGGGGACAGCGGTGCCACCGGCCGCTCTGGGGACGCTCCGGGGGCTGGGGACAGCCCCGCGGGCGGGGGACAGCGGCCTACTTCTGCATGGGGCTGAGCTCCACGCGCACGATCAGCTCCGTCTTGGCCGGCATGTTCTTGAAGACGTCGGCCTTGAGGCGCCGCAGCATGTGGGGGCCCAGCAGGTCGTGGAGCTTCTTGATCTGGTCCTCCTTGGAGATGTCGGCAAACTCCTCCAGGAACCCCTCCAGGTTACTGGGGACACGGGGACACGGGGACAGGGTCAGCATGGGGACACGGGGACAGGGAGGGACACAGGAACCCCTCCAGGTTATTGGGGACACGGGAACAGGGTCAGCGTGGGGACACGGGGACACAGGAACCCCTCCAGGGTACTGGGGACACGGGGACAGGGAGGGACACAGGAACCCCTCCAGGGTACTGGGGACACGGGGACAGGGAGGGACACAGGAACCCCTCCAGGGTACTGGGGACACGGGGACAGGGAGGGACACAGGAACCCCTCCAGGGTACTGGGGACACGGGGACAGGGAGGGACACAGGAACCCCTCCAGGGTACTGGGGACACGGGGACAGGGAGGGACACAGGAACCCCTCCAGGGTACTGGGGACACGGGGACAGGGAGGGACACAGGAACCCCTCCAGGGTACTGGGGACACGGGGACATGGGGACAGGGTCAGCAAGGGACACAGGGATACAGGAACCCCTCCAGGTTACTGGGGACACGGGGATAGGGTCACCATGGGGACATGGAGGGACACAGGAACCCCTCCAGGGTACTGGGGACACGGGGACAGGGTCAGCGAGGGGACAGGAACCCCTCCAGGGTACTGGGGACATGGGGACAGGGTCAGCGAGGGGACACGGGGACACGGGGACAGGGTCTCCATGGGGACATGGGGACAGCGAGGGGACAGGAACCCCTCCAGGTTACTGGGGACAGGGTGAGCTTGGGGACACCAGGATTTGGCGGGACAGGAGGTGACAGAGGTGACAGGAGGTGACAGGAGGTGGCACAGGTGGCACAGGTGGCACAGGAGGTGGCCCAGGTGACAGGAGGTGGCACAGGTGGCACAGGAGGTGGCACAGGAGGTGGCACAGGTGACCCAGGAGGTGGCACAGGAGGTGGCCCAGGTGACAGGAGGTGGCACAGGTGACCCAGGAGGTGGCACAGGAGGTGGCCCAGGTGACAGGAGGTGGCACAGGTGGCCCAGGAGGTGGCACAGGAGGTGGCACAGGTGACCCAGGAGGTGGCACAGGAGGTAGCTCAGGAGATGACATAGGTGACACAGGTGACAAGAGGTGGCACAGGTGACAGGAGGTGACCCAGGAGGTGACACAGGAGGTGGCACAGGTGACCCAGGAGGTGGCACAGGAGGTGGCCCAGGTGACAGGAGGTGGCACAGGTGACACAGGAGGTGGCCCAGGCGGCCAGGGACGCACTTGAAGCGCTCGGGCGTGAGGAAGTTGAGCAGGTGGAAGAGCTCCTCCAGGTTGTTCTGCAGCGGCGTCCCCGTCAGCAGCAGCTTGTGCTCGATCTTGTACCCGTTGAGCACCCGGAAAAACTGCGGGGACAGACCCACCTGGGACACGGCCGAGACCCCAGACCCACCTGGGGACAGCCCGAGACCCCAGACCCACCTGGGACACGGCCCGAGACCCCAGACCCACCTGGGGACAGCCCAAACCCCCAGACCCACCTGGGACACGGCCGAGACCCCAGACCCACCTGGGACACAGCCCGAGACCCCAGACCCACCTGGGGACAGCCCGAGACCCCAGACCCACCTGGGACACGGCCGAGACCCCAGACCCACCTGGGACACGGCCGAGACCCCAGACCCAGCTGGGGACACCCTAAAACACACCTGGGCACCCCAAAACACACCTGGGGCACCCTAAAACACACCTGGGGCACACAAAACACACCTGGGGACACGGCCTCAGACCCCAAACTCATCTGGGGCACCCCGAAACACACCTGGGGACACCCTAAAACACACCTGGGCACCCCAAAATCCACCAGGGACACCCCTGACACCTTCCTGGGCACCCCGAAATCAGAGATCTCCGGGTTCTGGGGTGCCCTCCCACTCACATTCCCAGGTACCCAGGTGTCCCCTACACCCACGGCTGGGTTCTGGAGTGTCCCCCACCCACATCCCGGGGTTTTGGGGTGCCCCCAGCCCCATCCCCGGGTTTTTGGGGTGCCCCCTACCTTGGACTGGTTGTTCTTGAGGCGGTGGGCCTCGTCCACCACGAGGCAGGGACCCAGCAACCCCCACCCACATCCCGGGGTTTTGGGGTGCCCCCAACCCACATCCCGGGGTTTTGGGGTGCCCCCAGCCCCAGGGCCGGGTTCTGGGGTGCCCCCCACCTTGGACTGGTTGTTCTTGAGGCGGTGGGCCTCGTCCACCACGAGGCAGGCCCAGCGGATGGAGCCCAGCGCCGCCTGGTCGATGGTGATCAGCTCGTAGGACGTGAGCAGCACGTGGAACTTCACCTGGGCCTCGCGCTGCGGGCACGGCCAGGGGCTCAGCGGGACCCCGGAGCCCCCCGGCACCCCAAAAGGTGCAAAAACCCCACCCAGAGCCCCCCGGCACCCCAAAACACGGAAAAACCCCACCCAGAGACCCCCAGCACCCCAAAACATGGAAAAACCCCACCCAGAGACCCCCAGCACCCTAAAACCTGTCCCTGCGCCACCCCCAGCTGTCCCCCAGCTGTCCCTGTGCCTCCCCAGCTGTCCCCCAGCTGTCACTGTGCCACCCCCAGCTGTCCCTGTGCCACCCCCAGCTGTCCCCCAGCTGTCCCTGTGCCACCCCAGCTGTCCCCCAGCTGTCCCTGTGCCACCCCCAGCTGTCCCTGTGCCACCCCCAGCTGTCCCCCAGCTGTCCAGGTGCCACCCGCAGGTGTCACCCCCAGCTGTCCCTGTGCCACCCCCAGCTGTCCCCCAGCTGTCCAGGTGCCACCCGCAGGTGTCACCCCCAGCTGTCCAGGTGCCACCCGCAGTGTCCAGCTGTCCCCTGTCCCCCACCTTCATCTTGAAGGCCTTCTTGCCGCCCTTCATGGCGTTGTCGTCGAAGGAGAACTCGTTCTCGCGGATGATGGCCCTGCTGTCCTTGTCCCCGGTGTAGGTGACAACGTAGAAGGCCGGGGCCCACATCTGGAACTCGCGCTCCCAGTTGATGATGGTGGAGAGCGGCGCGCTGACGAGGAACGGGCCCTTGGTGTGGCCCTGGGGGACACTGTGTCACACCACGGGCCAGGCCCGGGGGACACCGTGTCACACCCTGGGGGACACGGGGACACACCCTGGGGACACTGTGTCACACCACGGGCCAGGCCCGGGGGACACCGTGTCACACCCTGGGGGACAGGGGGACACTGTGTCACACCCTGGGGGACACTGTCACACGGGGAACGGGCCCTTGGTGTGGCCCTGGGGGACACCATGTCACACCCTGGGGGACACAGGGACAGGCCCTGGGGACACCATGTCACACCCTGGGGACACTGTGTCACACCCTGGGGGACACTGTCACACGGGGAACGGGCCCTTGGTGTGGCCCTGGGGGACACCATGTCACACCCTGGGGGACACGGGGACACACCCTGGGGGACACAGATGACCCCAGGGCCACGTGAGTGACCCCTGCCTCACGTGGGTGACCCTAATGACCAGGCAGGTGCCCCCAGCCCCACTTAGGTGTCCCACAGATGCCCCCAGGCTCACAGGACTCAGGTGTTCAGGGCACCCAGGGGGCTGGAGGTGTCACAGGTGTGTCAGGGGAATCAGGTCTGGGGGAATTCAGGGCACCCCAAAAACCGCCACAGAGATGGAGGTGTCACAGGGCTCAGGGGTAAACAGATTTGGGGGTCCCCAGATTTAGGGGTGCCCAGTTTGGGGGTGCCCAGGTTTGGGGGTCCCCAGTTTTCGGGGTGCCCAGTTTTTGGGGTACCCAGGTTAGGAGTGCCCAGGTTTGGGGGTCCCCAGTTTTCGGGGTGCCCAGGTTTTGGGGGGCCCAGGTTTGGGGTGCCCAGGTTTGGGGGTCCCCAGTTTTCGGGGTGCCCAGTTTTTGGGGTACCCAGGTTAGGAGTGCCCAGGTTTGGGGTTCCAGGTTTTGGGGCGCCCAGTTTTCGGGGTGCCCAGGTTAGGAGTGCCCAGGTTTGGGGTGCCCAGGTTTGGAGTGCCAGGTTTTGGGGTCACTCACGTCGTTGGTGGGCGAGTCGGGGGGCCCCTCCCCCGGCGTCTCCTTCTTCTTCTTCTTGTACCGGCGGGGCTGGGCCGGGTCCTCCCCCATGAACACCTCCCTGGGGACACCGGGGACACCGGGGACGTCAGGGGACAGCAGGGGACATCAGGGGACACCGGGGGACAGGAGGGACACCAGGGGACAGGAGGGGACACCCTGTAACCCCAATATCCCTCCAGTGTCCCCATGTCCCTCACCGGTGTTTCCAGTAGGCACATCCCTGTGTCCCCAGTGTCCCCCCAGTGTCTCCGATGTCCCCACAGTGTCCCTCACCGGTGTTTCCAGTAGGCACATCCCCGTAACCCTGATGTCCCCAGTGTCCCCCTGATGTCCCCGCCGGTGTCCCCAATGTCCCCCCCGTGTCCCCATGTCCCTCACCGGTGTTTCCAGTAGGCACATCCCCGTAACCCTGATGTCCCCAGTGTCCCCGATGTCCTCCCATGTCCCCCACCGGTGTTTCCAGTAGGCACATCCCTGTGTCCCCCATGTCTCCGTGATGTCCCCAGTGTCCCCGATGTCCCCCCATGTCCCTCACCGGTGTATGTTTTGGGGTCCCGCGGGTGTTTGGGGGTGTACCTGCAGCTCCTTGATCCAGGAGCAGTGCCAGTAGGACAGCCCCACCCATACTGAACCCCCCCATATTTTAGGGTGTTCCCCCAAACTTTGGGGTACCCCCCAGGTTTTTGGGGTCCCCCCGATGTTTTGGGGTCCCGCGGGTGTTTGGGGGTGTACCTGCAGCTCCTTGATCCAGGAGCAGTGCCAGTAGGACAGCCCCACCCATACTGAACCCCCCCATATTTTAGGGTGTTCCCCCAAACTTTGGGGTACCCCCCAGGTTTTTGGGGTCCCCCCGATGTTTTGGGGTCCCGCGGGTGTTTGGGGGTGTACCTGCAGCTCCTTGATCCAGGAGCAGTGCCAGTAGGACAGCCCCACCCATACTGAACCCCCCCATATTTTAGGGTGTTCCCCCAAACTTTGGGGTACCCCCCAGGTTTTTGGGGTCCCCCCGATGTTTTGGGGTCCCGCGGGTGTTTGGGGGTGTACCTGCAGCTCCTTGATCCAGGAGCAGTGCCAGTAGGACAGCCCCACCCATACTGAACCCCCCCATATTTTAGGGTGTTCCCCCAAACTTTGGGGTACCCCCCAGGTTTTTGGGGTCCCCCCGATGTTTTGGGGTCCCGCGGGTGTTTGGGGGTGTACCTGCAGCTCCTTGATCCAGGAGCAGTGCCAGTAGGACAGCCCCACCCATACTGAACCCCCCCATATTTTAGGGTGTTCCCCCAAACTTTGGGGTACCCCCCAGGTTTTTGGGGTCCCCCCGATGTTTTGGGGTCCCGCGGGTGTTTGGGGGTGTACCTGCAGCTCCTTGATCCAGGAGCAGTGCCAGTAGGACAGCCCCACCCATACTGAACCCCCCCATATTTTAGGGTGTTCCCCCAAACTTTGGGGTACCCCCCAGGTTTTTGGGGTCCCCCCGATGTTTTGGGGTCCCGCGGGTGTTTGGGGGTGTACCTGCAGCTCCTTGATCCAGGAGCAGTGCCAGTAGGACAGCCCCACCCATACTGAACCCCCCCATATTTTAGGGTGTTCCCCCAAACTTTGGGGTACCCCCCAGGTTTTTGGGGTCCCCCCGATGTTTTGGGGTCCCGCGGGTGTTTGGGGGTGTACCTGCAGCTCCTTGATCCAGGAGCAGTGCCAGTAGGACAGCCCCACCCATACTGAACCCCCCCATATTTTAGGGTGTTCCCCCAAACTTTGGGGTACCCCCCAGGTTTTTGGGGTCCCCCCGATGTTTTGGGGTCCCGCGGGTGTTTGGGGGTGTACCTGCAGCTCCTTGATCCAGGAGCAGTGCCAGTAGGACAGCCCCACCCATACTGAACCCCCCCATATTTTAGGGTGTTCCCCCAAACTTTGGGGTACCCCCCAGGTTTTTGGGGTCCCCCCGATGTTTTGGGGTCCCGCGGGTGTTTGGGGGTGTACCTGCAGCTCCTTGATCCAGGAGCAGTGCCAGTAGGACAGCCCCACCCATACTGAACCCCCCCATATTTTAGGGTGTTCCCCCAAACTTTGGGGTACCCCCCAGGTTTTTGGGGTCCCCCCGATGTTTTGGGGTCCCGCGGGTGTTTGGGGGTGTACCTGCAGCTCCTTGATCCAGGAGCAGTGCCAGTAGGACAGCCCCACCCATACTGAACCCCCCCATATTTTAGGGTGTTCCCCCAAACTTTGGGGTACCCCCCAGGTTTTTGGGGTCCCCCCGATGTTTTGGGGTCCCGCGGGTGTTTGGGGGTGTACCTGCAGCTCCTTGATCCAGGAGCAGTGCCAGTAGGACAGCCCCACCCATACTGAACCCCCCCATATTTTAGGGTGTTCCCCCAAACTTTGGGGTACCCCCCAGGTTTTTGGGGTCCCCCCGATGTTTTGGGGTCCCGCGGGTGTTTGGGGGTGTACCTGCAGCTCCTTGATCCAGGAGCAGTGCCAGTAGGACAGCCCCACCCATACTGAACCCCCCCATATTTTAGGGTGTTCCCCCAAACTTTGGGGTACCCCCCAGGTTTTTGGGGTCCCCCCGATGTTTTGGGGTCCCGCGGGTGTTTGGGGGTGTACCTGCAGCTCCTTGATCCAGGAGCAGTGCCAGTAGGACAGCCCCACCCATACTGAACCCCCCCATATTTTAGGGTGTTCCCCCAAACTTTGGGGTACCCCCCAGGTTTTTGGGGTCCCCCCGATGTTTTGGGGTCCCGCGGGTGTTTGGGGGTGTACCTGCAGCTCCTTGATCCAGGAGCAGTGCCAGTAGGACAGCCCCACCCATACTGAACCCCCCCATATTTTAGGGTGTTCCCCCAAACTTTGGGGTACCCCCCAGGTTTTTGGGGTCCCCCCGATGTTTTGGGGTCCCGCGGGTGTTTGGGGGTGTACCTGCAGCTCCTTGATCCAGGAGCAGTGCCAGTAGGACAGCCCCACCCATACTGAACCCCCCCATATTTTAGGGTGTTCCCCCAAACTTTGGGGTACCCCCCAGGTTTTTGGGGTCCCCCCGATGTTTTGGGGTCCCGCGGGTGTTTGGGGGTGTACCTGCAGCTCCTTGATCCAGGAGCAGTGCCAGTAGGACAGCCCCACCCATACTGAACCCCCCCATATTTTAGGGTGTTCCCCCAAACTTTGGGGTACCCCCCAGGTTTTTGGGGTCCCCCCGATGTTTTGGGGTCCCGCGGGTGTTTGGGGGTGTACCTGCAGCTCCTTGATCCAGGAGCAGTGCCAGTAGGACAGCCCCACCCATACTGAACCCCCCCATATTTTAGGGTGTTCCCCCAAACTTTGGGGTACCCCCCAGGTTTTTGGGGTCCCCCCGATGTTTTGGGGTCCCGCGGGTGTTTGGGGGTGTACCTGCAGCTCCTTGATCCAGGAGCAGTGCCAGTAGGACAGCCCCACCCATACTGAACCCCCCCATATTTTAGGGTGTTCCCCCAAACTTTGGGGTACCCCCCAGGTTTTTGGGGTCCCCCCGATGTTTTGGGGTCCCGCGGGTGTTTGGGGGTGTACCTGCAGCTCCTTGATCCAGGAGCAGTGCCAGTAGGACAGCCCCACCCATACTGAACCCCCCCATATTTTAGGGTGTTCCCCCAAACTTTGGGGTACCCCCCAGGTTTTTGGGGTCCCCCCGATGTTTTGGGGTCCCGCGGGTGTTTGGGGGTGTACCTGCAGCTCCTTGATCCAGGAGCAGTGCCAGTAGGACAGCCCCACCCATACTGAACCCCCCCATATTTTAGGGTGTTCCCCCAAACTTTGGGGTACCCCCCAGGTTTTTGGGGTCCCCCCGATGTTTTGGGGTCCCGCGGGTGTTTGGGGGTGTACCTGCAGCTCCTTGATCCAGGAGCAGTGCCAGTAGGACAGCCCCACCCATACTGAACCCCCCCATATTTTAGGGTGTTCCCCCAAACTTTGGGGTACCCCCCAGGTTTTTGGGGTCCCCCCGATGTTTTGGGGTCCCGCGGGTGTTTGGGGGTGTACCTGCAGCTCCTTGATCCAGGAGCAGTGCCAGTAGGACAGCCCCACCCATACTGAACCCCCCCATATTTTAGGGTGTTCCCCCAAACTTTGGGGTACCCCCCAGGTTTTTGGGGTCCCCCCGATGTTTTGGGGTCCCGCGGGTGTTTGGGGGTGTACCTGCAGCTCCTTGATCCAGGAGCAGTGCCAGTAGGACAGCCCCACCCATACTGAACCCCCCCATATTTTAGGGTGTTCCCCCAAACTTTGGGGTACCCCCCAGGTTTTTGGGGTCCCCCCGATGTTTTGGGGTCCCGCGGGTGTTTGGGGGTGTACCTGCAGCTCCTTGATCCAGGAGCAGTGCCAGTAGGACAGCCCCACCCATACTGAACCCCCCCATATTTTAGGGTGTTCCCCCAAACTTTGGGGTCCCCCCCAGGTTTTTGGGGTCCCCCCGATGTTTTGGGGTCCCGCGGGTGTTTGGGGGTGTACCTGCAGCTCCTTGATCCAGGAGCAGTGCCAGCAGACAGCCCCACCCATGCTGAGCCCCCCCATACTTTGGGGTGTTCCCCCATACTCTGGGGTACCTTGTCCCTCACCGGTGTTTCCAGTAGGCCAGCTTGTGCAGGTCGTAGTCGGGGATGGGCATCTCGTCCTCCTCCCAGGTGGCCTGGTCGTAGGGCAGGTCCCGCCACTTCACCAGGTAGTGGTACTGCCCCTTCCGGTCCACGCTGCGCGGCACCGCGTCACCCGGGGCACGGGGACAGTGGGGACACCCAGGGTCACCCAGGGCACCGCGTCACCCGGGGCACGGGGACAGTGGGGACACCCAGGGTCACCCAGGGCACCGCGTCACCCGGGGCACGGGGACACCGCGGGGACACCACAGGGACACCGCGGGGACACCACAGGGACACCACGGGGACAGCACGGGGACAGCCAGAGCACCGCGTCACCCGGGGCACGGGGACAGTGGGGACACCCAGGGTCACCCAGGGCACCGCGTCACCCGGGGCACGGGGACACCGCGGGGACACAGTGGGGACAGCACGGGGACAGCACGGGGACACGCAGGGCACCGCGGGGACAGCCAGGGCACTGCATCACCTGGGACATGGGGACAGCGTGGGGATACCCAGGGCACCGCGTCACCAGGGGCGCGGGGACAGCGGGGACATCAGGCACCCAGGGGACAATGGAACAGTGGTGACACTGGGCACCCAAGGATGTGTGGCACCACGGGGACATCAGGCACCCAGGGGACACCCATGGGGACAACTGAGTGTCCCCAAGGGCACAGGGCACCCCCGGGTGACACCCACGGGTGACAACGGGCACCCCTGGGGACACAGGGACAGCCAGCAGCACCGAGGGACCCGGCAGGGAGTGTCACTGCCACCAGGGTGTGGGTGACAGCAGGGGATGTGTTAGGGACACAAGTGCCACCAGGGGTCACCCACTGTCACCGGCAGCATCGGCAGGGACAGGGACAGGGACACTGGGGTCACCTGGGGACGGACAGGGGACATGGGGACAGCTGGGGACACGCAATGTAAATGAGGCCACTTGGGGACAGAGTCACACGGAGGTGACATGGGGTCACCTGGGGACAGTGCCACACACAGGGGACATGGGGGACAGTGTCACACAGGACACCTGGGGACAGTGCCCAACTGTCCCAGTGGGTGCTGGGGGGCCCTTGTGGGACCCAGGGGTGCCCAGAATGTCCCCATGGGTGCCACCAGTGTCCCCAAACCCCCCCTCGGCCACTCCCCTCAGCCACCCTGCTGTCCCCTGGGGATTTGGGGGTGACCCAAGGGAATTTAGGGGTGCCCTGGGGGGGATTTGGGGTGCCTGGGGGGTTTCAGGGTGCCCCGGGGGGATATTTTGGGGTGCGGGTCCCCACCTGTGGTTGATGATGCGGTGCACCGTCATCCATTCGGGTTTGATGCCCTGGGGGGATTTTGGGTGGTTGTAGTTGGGCTGGGTGGGGGATTTTGGGGTGCCCCGGGGGGATATTTTGGGGTGCGGGTCCCCACCTGTGGTTGATGATGCGGTGCACCGTCATCCACTCGGGTTTGATGCCGTAGCGGTAGAAGCGCTCCTCCATGCCCCCGAAAAGGGGGTCCCCCCCGGCCCCCCGCTTCTCGCTCTTGGGGTCGTCGTCCCCGGAGCCGTAGTCCAGGGGAGGGGGCTCGTCCATGTCGTTCTTCCGCTGGTAGTTCCGGTACATCACCAGGTGGAAGATCTCCAGCTGTGCCCCGAGATCGAAGGGGACACCCCAAAGTTAGGGGGGACACCCCAAAGTTAGGGGGGACACCCCAAAGTTAAGGGTGACACCCCAAAGTTAGGGGGGACACCCCAAAGTTAAGGGTGACACCCCAAAGTTAGGGGGGACACCCCAAAGTTAAGGGGGACACCCCAAAGTTAAGGGGGACACCCCAAAGTTAGAGGGGAAAACCCCAAATTTGGAGGGGAAAACCCCAAAGTTAGAGGGAATCATCCCAAAATTTGACAGAGCATCCCAAAGTTAGGGGGGACACCCCAAAGTTAGAGGGAATCACCCCAAAGTTAGGGGGGACACCCCAAAGTTAGGAGGGACACCCCAAAGTTAAGGGGGACACCCCAAAGTTAAGGGGGACACACCAAAGTTAGAGGAGACACCCCAAATTTGGAGGGGAAAACCCCAAAGTTAATGGGAATCATCCCAAAATTAGACAGAGCATCCCGAAGTTAGAGAGAAAAACCCCAAAGTAAGAGGGGAAAACCCCAAAGTTAGAGTGGAACACCCCAAAATTAGAGAGGATACCCCAAAGTTAGAGAGGGCATCCTAAAGCTAAAGGCAACATCCTAAAGTTGGAGGGGACACCCCAAAGTTGGAGGAGAAAACCCCAAAGTTAAAGTGGAACACCCCAAAGTTGGAGGGGAACACCCCAAAATTAGAGCACCCCAAAGTTAGAGAGGGCATCCCAAAGTTAAGTGTGGAATCCCTCCATGTACTTTGGGGTCCCCCCGATGTTTTGGGGTCCCGCGGGTGTTTGGGGGTGTACCTGCAGCTCCTTGATCCAGGAGCAGTGCCAGTAGGACAGCCCCACCCATACTGAACCCCCCCAGCAGGCGTCGCAGCACAGCAGCTCGCCGCCGTCCTTGCACACGCGGCAGTACTCCATGTGGTCATCTTCCTCCTCCTTCTCGCCCTCCTCCTCCTCCTCTTCCTCCTCCTCCTCCTCCTCCTTGGCCTCCCACTGCACGCCCTCCTTCTCCTGGGGATGGATCGGGGTCAGAGGGGTGACCCCAAAACAGCCCCACAAGGACAGACACAACACCAGGGAATGGCCCCAAAACAGCCCCTGCAGACCCCAAACTGCGCAGCGCCCGCTCACGCAGTGGGGGCAGCTCCAGCGTCCCTCGGGGGCGCGGTCCAGCTCGGGGTCCAGGCACACCAGGTGGTAGGCGCGGGGACAGGTGTCGCACAGGATGATCTCCCCGCCCTGCTGGCACACCTCGCAGTAGTCCTGGTGGTCGGTCTCGTAGCCATCGCCCTCCTCCTCGGGGCCAGGCCCTGCGGGGACGGTGGCAGGGCTGTCACTGCTGTCACCCTGTCACTCTGTCACCCTGTCACTGCTGTCACCACTGTCACCTCTGTCACCACTGTCACCTTTGCCACCCTGTCACTGCTGTCACTGTGGCCACCGTGTCTCCGAAGAGGGAGCGGGGGGCAGTGGGGGCACTGGGGACAGGGATGGGGACATGGGGACACTGGGGGAACTGGGGATGGGGATCAGGGTTCTCACCGAGCTGCTCTTCTTGCGTTTGCCTCCCAGTACTCCCAGTTTGATTTTGAGCGGGGCCATCTTCCTGCCCTTCATCTTCCTCTTCAGCTCGGGCACCCGCGGGCTCTTGCTGCGCTTCTTGTGCCCGGGGCCTGGGGGGCACGGCGGGTCAGGGACCCCCAAACAACCCAGGGGACCCCAAAACATCCTAGGGATCCCCAAAGCACCCCAGGAACCCCCCTCCAACCACCCCAGGGACCCCAAACCACCCCAGGGACCCCAAAACATCCTAGGGACCCCCCCAGACCACCACAGGGACCCCAAAACATCCTAGGGACCCCCCCAAACCACCACAGGGACACCTAAAATCACAAAAGGACTCTCAAACCCCCCAGTAACTCCCCAACCCCCCAACCCACCCCATTAATCCCCAATTCCCCAGTAACCCCCAACGCCACCCAGTAACCCCCAACCTCCCCAAACCCCCCAAACCCCCGAGGCTGACCCCACAGATCCGGGGGGTACCCCCAGCTCCCCCAGTAACCCCCAAATCCCCCAAACCCCCGAGGCT